AACTCAATTTTAATAACATTGTTTTGATTTCATTATATTTATTTTTATGATTGACATCTATTTCTGGCAAGTGATAGCTGGTTTTCCTTGCACAACAGTAAAACAAAGTTTCCTTTTCAGATAAATAAAGTTAAAAAAATGAGTTGATTTAAAGAAAAGTATTACATCACATTAAAAGAAGTGGCATATGGCCGGGCGTGGTGGCTCACGCCTGTAATCCTAGCACTCAGGGAGGCTGAGGCAGGTGGATTGCTTGAGGTCAGAAGTTTGAAACCAGCCTGAGCAAGAGTGAGACCCCGTCTCTACTATAAATAGAAAGAAATTAATTGGCCAACTAATATATATAGAAAAAATTAGCCAGCCATGGTGGCGCATGCCTGTAGTCCCAGCTACTCGGGAGGCTGAAGCTGCAGGATTGCTTAAGTCTAGGAGTTTGAGGTTGTTGTGAGCTAGGCTACCACCACGGCACTCACTCTAGCCTGGGCAACAAAGGGAGACTCTGTCTCAAAAAAAAAAAAAAAAAAAAAAAAGAAGTGGCATAATAATATGGCAAAAATCATGAAGACGGGGATGGTAACTGAAGTTGGGCATATACCATCTTAAGGAGAGCCCAGATCAGATACCCACTATTGATCTTCCTTTAATGTCCCAAATCATAAATGCAAAATAAATAAAAATGAAATGACAACGCATACATATACTAATTAGGAAAAATTGTGAAGTTGACAAAATCGTCTTCCCCTTGGCAATGCCTTTTCACACCTTTGTCTCCCTCCTTTGCCTTCCCTCACCTGGGAACCCAGGGCCTGCACCTGGCCAGCCTTCTTCTCTTCACCAAAGAAAACCGATCTGATAAACCAGTTCCAGCTGAGCTTGGAGCTAGAGGACTTGGTGACAGCCACATCATTGTCACTAACATGATGAGTGACTTTGGGCAAATCCCTTCATCTCTCTAGACTGCAGTTTCCTCTCTATAAGAGAAGATAAGATAATCTTCAGGGTCTCTCCCTGCTCTGAATTCTACGCTTCTAGGATGTTCGTGATTTAATGTGTTCCCCTCTTAGGGACTCACATTTCACTTTAAAAAAAAAAAAAAAAAAGCCCTCAGAAAAGGGATGAATAAATCCATAGGAATGAGCTCCCAGTAGTGGAATTCCAGGCTCAGTGGCACATGGGGAAGAGAGATTTTTGGGGGGTGTTTGGGTGGGGTGGTGCTTCTAAAATCACGCAGCTGGCCTCCTCCACCTCTATGTGAGGCTGGCTTCACTCCCAGATGACAGGCCAACCTTCATCTCGGACCTCCCACCTCCTGACGGAGCCTGCCGCTGCCACCCTAGGGTCACTGCCTTCCACTCCGTCTGGATTCAGGAAGCCAGACCTCTGCCAGGGCTGCATACTGCATTTTTAATTTGGGGGAAGCAAAACATAGGTGTTTATTTACATGCACATCTGTGTACACACACACACATGCACACACATGCACACACATGCACACACAGAGTTGGGGGCAGGAAAGGGCCAAGAAGAAAAATAAGCTTTGACAACCTAATAAATGTCAATTTCTGAGGGGGGCTGAGTTAGAAGATGGATCCTCGGAACTTTAATTGGAGACATGATGCTCGCACTTGGCCGGGCAGCCCCGCCTCCGTGGCAGATCCCGCCACAGATAGCAAGCCCTCCTTCCTCTAATTGACAGGAGGCCTCTGTCTGCCAGGGTTTGTTTCTGGGATGCCAAGAGGCAAGGGGGGCGGGCTGGGGGTGGCGCTCTAATGCCCCTCAGAGAGGAGAGGAGAAGAGCCGCAGAGGACTCAGGCCCAGAGGCAGAGAGCCCAATGGGCTGAGCCGTCACACAAGTGGCACCCGCGCTGTGACCGCCCTGCGTGAGACCCAGCAGACAAAGCATCCCCCTGACTAGTGATGTCTGCTTCCCACCCAACAGCAAGGTGGCTCCTTTCTGACGCCGCCATGGTGGTGTCCTAAGCCAGGCGCGACGGGAGAAGGGAGAAAGCAGGCGGGAGGAGCCCAGGGAGCAAGGGGCCCACCCAGAGACAGGCTGCCTGGAGTCGTGGCCCAGTGCCACCACCGCTGGACCTGGGTCAAGTGCTTATCCTTCCTGTGACTCAGTTTCATCCCCTGCAAAATCGAGACGGTCAGAGTATCTGCCTCAAAGCACTGTGAGGGGATCAGACGGGCTAATCCAGGAGGAGTGCTCACTCCCACTCTCCCCAACTCAATGGGAGGAAGCCCTTCTTCAGCCCACCGGGCCTCTCTCTGCTGGAGCTTTGGAGCCAGCACTCCTGAGCTACCTGGGGAGTCCCAGCCCCATTGCCCAAACAAGCTGAATGTCATGCCAGGGACAGCTCAGCTAGGACAGACGGCCGCCACAGCAATCTAGCTGGATAAGCAGTCATCGCCACCAGCGGCTGGGCTGCCGCCATGGTCTGACCAACCACTTTCTAATAAAACACCAAGGACTACTTTTCCTTCCAGAACTCCCAAGCATTCTCTTTTTGGCCACCTGCAGCCCCTATCCTAGCTGTGCAATTTTGTTATTTTTATATTAGTAATAGTCCAAGTAACTAGCATCTGCACAGTCCTTTACAAAGCAATTTTTAATTTACACCTTTGAATTGATAATGCACTCACCTGGTTCAAAAATTTAAAACTCTATATTAAAAGACAAACAGTGAAGAATCTCCCTGTTATTTCTGTCTCCTGCCTTTCCAGACCCCAGCCTCACCCCCCACCCTAGGTAACCACTGTTATTAGTTCCTCAGAGATCCTTCTAGAGTTTCATTCTGTATGCACAAGCAAATATTCCTATTTCTCCCCTTTTTAAATACAAAATGTAGCATACTATCCACACTGTTCTGTACCTTGCTTTTCTTCACTTGATGGTATGTCTTATATGTCACTACAAAGCTTTCTTTCCTTTTCCTTTTCATAGCTGGGTAATATTCCATTATGTGGCTAAAACGAAGTCTCTTAAAGAGACCCCTCCTGGTGAGCATTTACATTGTTTCAAATTTTTCCCATCACAAGCATCATGTAACAAATAGCTATAAACCGATCCCTTGCACTTACGCAAATATATTTACAGGATAATATCCCAGAAATGGAATTGCTAGGTCAGAAGATACGTGTATTTAAACTGTCGATAGCATTGCCAAATTGCCCTCCCTAGAGGTTATACGAATTTATCTCCCCATGAGAAATACTACGTGGCCAGTTTCTGCACAACTGCATGAGTATTACAGGGTGTTATCAACTTTCTGGACTTTTGCCAATCTGTTAGGCGAAAAAAATGTCTATCGGTGTAATTTTAATTTACGTTTCTCTCGTTTTGAAGGAGGTCGAGCATTGTTGTATATTATACATTTAAGAGCCAGTTGTATTTCCTTACTTTAGATGGACTTTGCTATCCATTTATCTCCCTCGTCTTCACAATCCCCCTGTGAGATATGTGAGGCAAGTATTAATAACATCTGCGCTTTAAAATGCTATAGCTAAGACTCGAAGCATTTAAGACACTGGCTCAAAGCTGTAGGCTGGTATGGCAGAGCCAAAATACCATTTTGCATTTTTCCCCCCAATTTTTTTATGTTTTGGATCTTCCCAATTGAGCAGTGCACTTCTTACCCGCCTTCAAATCACCCTCATGAACCTAGGACAGTGCTGTGAGCTGGGACCAACGGTGCAGACCCAGTTTCCTGCTGTGGCTCCTCGAGTCGCTGGCTGTGTGCCTCTGGGCCAGCCCCTTCACTCTCAGGGCAGACTCTCCATATCTATAAAGCCAAGATTTGAACTAAATCACCAAGGTCCCTTCCAGGAAATGATTATAGTGGGAAGCACTCCATGAATCTTTTATTATTATTTCTTTTTGAGTGGAGAAAATAAAACAGTTTTCAGACCTCCCAAGTTGAGATTGTTCACATCATCCCCATTGATGATTAAGCCCAGTTGGATCAGAGGGGAAGGGACTTGGGGGGCTCCAGGCCCTGTTGGGAAGGGGAGTGCCTATCGCAGTGGTATGCTGCAGGCAGCCTGTCCTGAGAGTCCGCCTTGAGATGTTTCCAGAGTTTTGCAAGCCGAATGACATCCAACTGACAGCTTGAAACCGACCACGGTGGGAAAAATGTATACCACGGGAATCAGCAAATGCAACATAGGAGAGCATCCCTGTCCCCCGAACCCAGAGCCAGCTGTTCGCTGGTGTTCGTTTGCTCCCCACGTCTCCGCCAGAGGGTCTGCAAAACGTCACAAGCTGTTGAATTGGCAAGACTTTTGGGGACCATGGAGGGTTCTGGGACTGACAAGGACTCACCCAGCCCTCCAGTCACGTCCAGTGGTGAGAGCGAGGCCTGTGCAGCAAACTGCAGGGTTCAAATCCCTGCTCTCCAAAACAGGGAAGCAATAACCACCGCAAGGGGGTTCGAGAAGATTAATGAGTTAACACCTTCAAAGCATTTAGACCTGGCACAATTAAACACTCAGTAAGCAATTGCTATTGCTGTTTGTTTACTGCTCTACAGGGCAAGAACGGTGGCTGAGAGACTTGGGGCCAGGCTTCTGGTCCTCCCTGGTCTGCAGCTGTGGGCTCTTGGGAAATCTCTTCATCCCTCTCAGCCTGTTTCCTTATTTATAAAGAAAGAGAGCAGATAACCGTTAGGATCTGTTCTGCCCTCCCCATCCTGTCTGTCGTGCGGGAGTCCCCTGATCCCACTGGGTTGTCGTTAGGGGTGGCTGCTGCGGCATCACCCCCTTGGGAGCCTCCCCAGGTGGCCTGGCAGAGTCCAGCCTCCCTCCCCTGGGCTCCCGCACCCCAGTGCTGTGCCTCCCACCCCCACAGTGCTTACATGCCACACCGTGAGTATCCGCCAGTCTCCCCACTGGACTCCTTGAGGCAGGGGTGCGCCTCTATCTTCTCCATCCCCTTCCCCTGCAAGAGAAGACCCTCAATAGTGGAATGAGGAAGGGAGAAGATCAGGCGCCTTCTGAAACAAGCCCTTGCCCACCTAGCCTGCACCCTCCCCAGGCCCCACAAGACCAGCCCCAGCCTGGACTGTCTGTGGCAGAGAGACCCCGGCCACTCCAAAAGGCTGCACGGCTCCCTCTCTTTCTTGGAGTGAAGAAAGAGAAGCCGCCCAGATTAGGGCTGGGTAATGAGCCGGCAGCGCATTCCCCACTGATCTGGGCTGGTCCAGAGCCTGCTAGCCCAGGGGATATTTCCAGCCGGTGGTCTGGCAGAGGGCTGGCTCCCGCGTGGACCCCTCTGCTGGGACCTTTGAGCTCTCTAACTCTTGGGGTGTTGGGTGGAGGAAGAGGATGGGCAAGTGCAGAAGGCAGGTCCCAGGGCACTTGTAGCCCCTGAGAGCAGGCGAGGACCCCCTCAGTGCAGGGTCCTGGGCACCTTGCCCACTCCACCCTTGTCTGGGTTCTAGCAGAGATGCAGGGGCTCCTCCTGCCCGCATAGCCATGCCCTTCTCTCACTGGAGACCTCCCCTTCTTCCCCGCTGCATTTTTCTCTGTGGCACTTACTGCCATCTGACATACCATAAATTTTATTTGTCTTTTGTTTATCGTCCTGCTCCCCACCAAAGAAGGTAAATTCCACAAGGGCAAAGGTTTTTGTTCTTTTCTTCACTCTGTCCCGGGGACCAAGAACACTGTTTGGCATTTCATTAGCGCTTGATCGATATCTGTGGAATGAATGAAAAACTACATCTCCAACCCTCAACCCCAACACACACACACACACACACACACACACACACACACACACACACACGCACACAATACCTCTATCCAGATCAAATTTCTGGCTGTCACCTACTTCCTGCTACAGTGATAATAATCCAAGTGTTGACTGGTACTGAACTTAAGGCATGACCACTTTATAGAGGTATTTGCATTTTATAAGGGAGGCTTTTAGAAATGATAAAATCATTCAGGAGCCAAGGGAGTGAAGCTCTAATGGGTGAATTAGATGGGGGAGATATTTGGGGGCTCCCTCCTGCCTGGCTCAGATCAGCACATAGGAATCAGGCCCCCAAGTCACACAGCCACCCGCCTCACCCCCTCAACACAGTTCAACTGTCTCTGATTCCTAGGGAAGAAGTAGCAGCTGTCCTGACTGCTGGAACCCGCCCCCCACTCCCCTTCCCCAGCCTAGCCCCTCCACATAAGGACTCGTTCTGTCTTTGTCCAAACAATCCAGTGAAGCTGCCAGGCCTGGAGTTGGTGTGCCAGGAAGCATGGCTTTCTGGCACGGGGGTTCCCAACCAGGGCAGGGATGGCCAGTCCTCAGCTCCCAGAGACCCCATGGCATTTCAGTGATGTGTCAGGTACCCACCCAGAGGAGCCAGTGTGCTGGCCGTCAGACCCCACAGCACAGGCCAGAACGATCGTGGGTGAAGCAGGGGCCCCTACAGAGTGAGCAGTTCTTGGGTCTATCAATGGAATCGTCCCTATCGAACATCTTGTCCGTGCACAGCATGCGGTTGGGCTCCAGGCAGGGGAACATCTCCAGGTGTCTGTCTCCTACCCCCATAGCTCTTATCAGCTCTGATCTGGCTGGGTGTGGGCTGCTTCAGTAGAGCCAATCACAAGGCTAGCCTTGGAGGACCTTTGAAAACAAAGGGCGTCCTTCAGAGTGTCCCTGTACTTAGAAGATCCCACCTGCGGGCCAGGTGTCTGAGCTTTCGCACCAGGGAGCCCAGCCTGCTGAGCCAATCCTACCCCACCTTGGGGGTATTCTGAACAGGGGGTGGGGGGAGTGTTTTGAACAGAAGCGGGGGGCATTCTTAACAGTGGCTGGTCCTGGGTCCAGACCTCCTGAAAGAGGAGCTGATGGTGTAGCGGGGCTGCCCCTCTGCAGCCCCCTCCCATGGGACAGGAGGAAGGCCCAAGCCCACAGATGCCAGCAATGACAAGCCTGGGGACATTCAGAATGTGCCCTCATGCAGACACTGCAATAGGAGTACACCCTCTCAACCCCACCTGCTCAGTGTTGTCGGGAACATACCTTAAACCGCCAGCACATTCACTCAGATCCCACCCCCCAAGGTCTTGGACAGAGACCAGCTGGGGTGGGTTCAGCAGGGAGGGCTTCTGGGATGTCCTAAAGTCAGGGTGAGGGCTCCAGCCAGAACTGCTCTCTTCTATGGGGGCAGGGCAGGTATAACAGGCTCCAGGGAGCCCCGGCACTAGCCGCCGGCCCCTAAGTGCAGGCCCTCCAGCCAGATGGTCTCCATTGATCTGCTGGAGATTTTGCAGACTGGTCAGTTCTCCGTCCCATTCTTCTTCCAGCTCCGATCCCCTCCTCCTCCTCCGGCCATCCATCATCTGTCCACCTGCCTGGATCAGCAGGAAGGGGCAGCCTGTTTATTTTTTTTTTAATTATTATTATTTAGAGACAGGGTCTTGCTCTGTCGCCCAGGCTAGAATGCAGTGGCGCCATCATAGCTCACTGAGCTCCAGCCATCCTCCTGCCTCAGCCTCTCAGCCCAGCTAATTTGGGGGCAGCCTGTTAAAGGAGCCAGAGCCCAACCCTCAGGTGCCTTGCAAGCTGTCTACAGGCACCAAAGCCTCCCTGGGGCCTGGGCCCCTTGCATGTGGTCTGTGCAGCCTCTGGTAAGCACCAGAGAGGAGAGGTGGATGAGCTCGCAACAGGTAGGTCTAAGGGTCGCATACCCGTCCCCTCGGAGGGGGGGGGCCCATCCTCTGTCCCATGCTCATTGCTCTCAGTTTGATGCCCTATGGAGGCTCCTATGATCCCTGAGACGTGAGCTGAGAAAAATGTAGGCATTTGCTTACCACCAGCGACTCTGGAGAATGACAATCACTTATGACTGAATAGAGATTCACGGTTTCCACCTTCCTGTGATCTTATGTAAGCCACAGGACAACCACATGAGGTCAACGGATGCCACTAACCTTATCTCCCAGATGAGAAAACCGAGGTTCAGAGCAGTGAAGTACTTGTCCTGTTGCACAGCGGTCAAGGACAGAGGGCCTGGAGGCAGTTCTCTTGCCATCCTGCTACACTGCCTCCTGGAAGCAGTCAAGTCACAAATGAACAAGCAGCATTGGCAGGTAGGCTGCCCACTGTGCAGGGACGGGCTGGGCCGAGTCCCAGCATGGCCACTTATGAGCCTGGGTGGCCGGGGCCAGGAATCCAGTCTCTCCAGACTCAGTTTCCTCATCTGTAGAACACAAATAACACCCATGTCTTGAAAGGAACAAAGGAGAACTGAGGATGCCCTGGACCCTAAGAAGCCTTGTGCCCTGGGAGGGTTCAGGGCCACTGCACCCCCAGGTAGCCCCCTGAGTGTTTGGGATGATGTTGCATGCTGTGACAAAAAGCAGCTTCCACAGCTAATTGTGACTTCCATGAACAAAAGCTGCTGTCTCCCTCTCCCTTCCTTGAAGAGAGACCTCTGTGTCCATGACTCCCTTTGTAAAGGAACAAAGAGGACCAGGTCCACAGCAGAGAGGAGCGACAAGGAAGAATGCGGTGTGAAGCCGGAGAAGGGTCCAGCCAGGGATGCTTTGCACTTGGAGACAGACATTCCTGGTAGCTGAAGGAGGGGGAGCCCCACTGGGACAGGGGGAGAAGAGGCAGCTGGACTAGGGGACAGCCCAGCTTTCAAGGAAGGGTGAAGCTGGGTGTCACAGCCACTTGCAGGCACCTGCTAGTGAAGGACCCTAGTCCATGAAAAATGCCTCCCAGGTGTTTGTGGCTGAAACCTAGGGGCTGGCTATCTGCCTTCTGGCACTGGTGCCACCCACACCAAGAGCACCCTTCTGAACTTCTATGTCCACCGGGCACCACAAACTCTCAAACTCCTGAGGCTGCCTGAGCTTGATCTACTGACAGTGCCTGACATCCCATAGTAAAGTCAAGAAATTGTCACCTTCTCTTTTCTGTCTTCACTTCAACTAGAGGGGTGCCCAAACATGTGGCAAGTGCTCAAAGACCTTAAGAGTACTAAGTGAGGGGTGCTAAGAGACAAGTCCTAGAGATAGAAACTCAGATACAGCTCCATTGTAGGCTAATGGTGCCTCCTCGGTTTGTGCAGTATACAGCTTGTGCAGCTGCACATGGTGGCCCTATAGACACTATGCATCCTCAAAGCACTCCATCTCCCTGACAACTTGCTTTTTATTCCTTGGTCAAGTTTGTTGTGCTTGCCTGAGCCCTCATTGCAAATGGCGCCTCCTAAAGGTGTTCATTGTTCAAACTGCATAACCATGCACGGAGAACCTGCAATGCTATCTCCTTCCTTTAGGATAAGTTCTTTCTCAGAGAGTTCCTCTGTCCCTCACGCTATTGGACCCACCCTATAATCTCTCCAGACATGTCTGAATCCCAGCAGTGGGCCCCAGTACATGTTCAAATCAAGACTTTGAACCCATATATTCTATATTTCCTCCTGGCAAAGTCATTTCTGCTGCCCTGCTGTGCTGATGACTTCCCCAAAACAGACAGCTATAGAGTTAGCCAGTCAATTTTGCCCAAGTCGCCCCTATGACACAGACCCTGGAAGTCTAGCTCTGAGACTCCTCTAGGTGACCCCTGCCCCATCACTGTGGGACCTCTGGGGCCCTTCCCAGTCCCTGCTCCAGTTGTGCCTTCATGTGTCCACACCTGCCTGTTCAACCAGATCTGTATCAGTTCACCTCTGCACTCTCCCAACAGCCCCAAGCCCCAGCAGCCAACATTCTGGTGCACCTGTCGTTCCCATCTGAAGGTGGAAGCATGAGCTGGAGCTGAGAACTGGGAGCTGCACCCTGCTTTCAAGTTGCCTGCCGAGGAAAGCTACCCCTTGGGGTCGGGCCAAGGGTCACATGGGGAGCAGTCATCAGAGGAAAACGGAAAGAGTCGCACAGCTTTCCTTCCAGGATGGGTCAGTGAGGTAGCCAGCAGGAGGAGAGCAGCCTCCGTCTCAGGGCCCTTGACTAGCCTGGGCCCCTCGCTCGCTCACCTGGGTGCTGGCTCCCAGACTTGCAGGGATGGCATTGGCGGGAAGGAACCTTTGCTCAGAGCTAGTGGTCCTTGCAGGAAGGTGAAGTAGGGAATCCGGAATCCCCTTCCCATCTGCTCCTTCCCTATCCATATAAAAGATCAAAAATAATCTCCCTGTGCATGGAGGAAGCTTCAAAATCACTGATTTAGTCCTTTGTGTCAAGCACAACCATAAACAAATTCTGACAAGATGTAAATACATCCAAGAGGAATTTAGAAAGATTTTAAAAACTTGGCCTCTGTGTCTGAGGGGAAAAGAAGGACTTAGGCTGGAGTGTTGCTAAGGCCCCTTCTGGTTCAGACATCTCGCTCCTTGAAATCTCAGTGATGAGGGGGTTTCTCAGCCCTGGGATCCCCCAGAAGGCCCGGCCTATGCAAGAGGGAGCTGCAGCGAGGAGACAGGCACAGGGAGAGAAGTGGGCATGGGCTGGGGGAAATGTTCCCGTGCCCAGGCCCCTGTCAGCACCTCCTCTATCCACAGGCCTAGCTGCCAGGCTTTTAGGGTACACCAGATGTGCAGCACCAAACAGCCCCCAGATTCAAGGCCCTGGTCAGGGCCATTCTCAACTTCAGTCCCTCCTGGGGACCCCGGGACCTCATTTAATCCACTGGTGCCCACCGTAGGTCATTTGCATTTTAAAAGGGAGGGAAGGAATCCCACCCAAAATGCAAATGGTGGGATTCTCAGTGTTAGCAGGGGAGAAGTTTCTGGTGGGATTCTCAGTGTTAGCAGGGGAAAAGTTTCTGGGTAGGGAGTTCTCCAGGACACTGGCCACAAATCATGACACACTGGAGAGTGCCTGTGTCCCCCAGCAAGCCAAATGGGCTTTGTTTATTCTTTCAATCAAGAGCCACTTATTTGTGCCTACCTTGTGCCAGGCATTGTGCTAAAGTGTTGGGGACATACGATGAATTAAGTAAAGAAGGAAGCCTGCCCTTTGGACATCTGCAGTCTTGTGGGGGAGATGGCAACTCTCCTTCAGAATGTTCTCTTGGCTCATTTTGGCCCAATTCCTTCCCAGCTTCTTCCTCTTAGAACCGTTTGTATTCCCAGAGCTCCTCTTGCAGGAGGCCAGGCAGTGGCCGCAGGGGCAAGCCGTGCCAATTGGACCAGGTGCTCCTACCCAGCAAGGAGCTTGCCTCCATGCCCTGCAGTGCCCACTGCCAGGCCGAGAGTGGATGCGGCAGCTCAGATAAGGGAGGAGATGCCCCTGCAGCTGCCTGTTTTCCAGCCTCGCCTCAAGCCAAAGGTCTTCTAGCCCACAAAGCAGCTTCCTGTCCAAGCTCGCCCATTCCTGGGCATAATGGGGCACTCGAGCATCGCCTTTTCCAGGTATGCAAATTCACCCCAGGTAAGAGAACTCCATGTCCAGTGGCTAAAGGGCCATTGATGTGGCCCTCTTCCCCTCTCCTGCAACGCCCTTCTGCTTTTCTTCCTTCCCAACTCAGTTCTTCCACCTCCACAAAGCCTAAGTTCACCCTCCAAAGACAAGAAGGAGCTCTGCTCTCCACTCCTCCCTTGCCTTGTTGGTAAAATGGGGATGTCTCACCCAGCACTCCTGGCAGAGCTGTTGGAAGTAAAATGAGACTACGAGTAACACCAGAGCTCTGTGTGTGTCAGGCACTGTTCTCAGAGCTGGGCATTTATTCACTCATTTCGTCTTCCCCTCCAAGCCTCTGAGACATGTTATCATCATCTGCCTTTTTTTTAAGACAGAGTCTCCATCTGTTGCCCTGGTCAAAGTGCCTTGGCATCAGCCCAGCTCACAGCAACCTCAAACTCCTGGCCTTCCAGAGTGCTAGGATTACAGGCATGAGCCACCCCACCCAGCCCATCATCTTCCTTTTACACATGTAGAAACAGAGGCACATACCCAAAGACACAGCAAGTAGCAGAACCTGATTTTGGATCCAAGCAGCCAGGCTACAATCTGTGTGCCTAATTGTGGACACTCAACTGCCCCCGAAGCAGTTTGCAAACAAGGTCATGCCATGCAAGCTCAAGAACGCTCTTTTCATCCTAAATGCTGGTGCGCCTTGCAAATACCTCTCACCCTAACCCCACCCACGCTATTCTGATCAGACACCTGGATGCACAAGGCTGACCCTGCCCTGGGTGCCAATCTCAGAATTACTTCGCCCAGCACTGGCACCACAGCTCCCCCACAAATCCAGCAGAACCCAGCACTCCCCCAGCCAACCCCTGCGGCCCCCACCAGCCTCTGGCCCAGGGATCCAGGAGCTACTGCCAAGAGGGCTCCAGAAATGGGGGCAGGAGGGGCAAGGAGGACGGAGGCGGGTCTGGCCAGACCCCAGGGAGCAATGGACTCCACTCTGCGCTGGCCAGCATGGGATCTGCCTGGGAGTGGAGCCGGGCAGTGATGGAAAGCCCCTGCCATGGGGACGCCAGCCTGACACCTAATCGGATCAGATCCCCTCTCCCAGCTCCTCTCATCCCTCCGACTCCTCCTTCCAGCTCACTGGCCTCCCCCCCCCAGCATCCCAGCCCCACCCTGCCTGAAGTCTCCAGCTGCCCGGTCGGTTTTATAAATGGCCCTTGCAGGAGGTGGGCACCTTGGCTAATTGAATCAGCGCCCAAGAGGCAGGAGACGGGAGGCTGGTTAGCATCACAGCTGAAAAGTGGTGGCAGCAACAGCTTGAGTGGAGCTATCAGGGAGGCGCCTGGGAGATAGGGGGTGGGGGGAGGCCCCAGCAAGCTTGGCCTTTGCAGATTCTGAAGCTCCAGGGTGGGAACTCACCGGAGGGCCTGGCCACCGCCACTGTCACAGGCATACACGGTGGACCCCAGCCCCACCCCACCCACACACCACTCATACACTCAGGAAAAAGAAATTCCAAGGGGTGGCGGTGGCAAGAGAGACAGAGAAGAAAAGAAACAGGAAGGGTGAAGTAGTGTGCTTGTGTGTGCACGCCTGCTGTCTATGAATCTGCGTGAACATCTCTGCTGGGTGTGATGTCATTCTTAGCTGCCCGGGTGTCACCTCCGCAATAATAATTAGCAAACGAGACCAGGTCATAGGGAAGCTTCTCTTGGTATCAACAGGTGCCAGGCAGCAGGCCCTGGAGCTAAGAGACCCTTTCTTGGTGGACCTGTCGCTCCATCTTACATTGCCCTGTGCCTTCCGAGGACGGTCTGTCTCCTTACCTAGGAATTTGCCCCTGGACAGCCTGGGTGGCACAGAAACACTCCAAGGAGGGCTCCACCTCTACGCGTCTGTTTGAGGTCGTTGAGCCCCTTCGGGAATCCATTCAGCAAACATGGCACTGTGGGCTCCCTGAGGGTGGGGACGTCTGTGTTGCTCCCCAGCTCCTGGGCGGGGCTGGTCCATAGGAGCCACCCCGAGTGGCACTTGTGGAGCGAAGGAGTGGTGGGCACATCGCGGGTGACAGCAGCGTCTGTGGTGGCGCTGACAGCTCAACAACTCCTCAACAGCTGTCCTGAGAACTCTCATTACCCCCCCCAACCTCCCCAGACGTCCTACTTCCCAGTCGCACCGGCCCCCACCCCACCTTTCCCGAGGGCCCCAAGCCACCACTTCCCCTTCTGAGGCGCGGGCGGCAGAAGGGAAGAATGCGGAAGTCCCGGGCCCTGGAAGGCGGGGCGGGGACACCCGGGGAAACGTCCCGCCTCGGACCCGCGCCTCTGGCAGGCAGCGTCCGCACGGCTGAGAGCGGGGTTCGGAGGGTCTGAAGGGACAAGCTCTGACAGGCAGAATCCTCAAACTATCCCCACGCCCTTAAAGTAGTCCAGTTCCTCCTTCCTTCAGGCCAAGCCCCCAAGCCCGGCGGCCGCCAAGCCCCCGGCGGCCCTTTCCACAGGCTCGCACTGCCCCCTGCTGGGCAGAGCCAGGACGGCCACGTCTGGTGCGGCCCGAGGGAATCGAAACGTGCCGCGCCTCCCACCCCAGGCCTGCTGAGGGGACTGAAATCCTTGGAGGCATCGGGCCTTCCTGCCTCCGAGGCGCCCTCAGCTGGGAATGGACCATGCCAGCAGGAGCAGCCCTTCGGCACGGACGAGAGAGCCAGGGGAGGAGCGCCCTCGGCTGCTCCCTCCAGCCTGCTCGCTCGCCCACTGCTCAAGTTCCTTCCAAGAGGGGCAAAGCCACCGTGTGAGACAAAACTTAGGTCAAGGCACATCTGAGACGCTGGCGTCAACCCCAACGTCTACATCTCACCCCCTCCTACGCTCTAGCTTCTCTGTCCGGCTTCTGCAGTGCTCCTCTGGCCGCAGGGATCCCAGCCTTCCTCACCTGGACCCTCCAGAAACCAAGCTCATCATGTCCTCAAAACCTGAGAGCCTTTCTAGAAACCCTCTTTCTCTGTGTTCCACACCCAATATGACTCCAGATCTGCAGGTGGCACCTCTATGACATCTTTGCATCCTGTCTTTTCTGAATTTCTGCCTTTGAATTTGGCCCCAACCTACCCATCCCACCCCAAGTCCATCTTCTCCGGGGCTATTGGGATTACTGCCCCAAAGCTCAGCTCTTATGGGACTCCCTGTTCAAAAGCCATCACTGTTCCTTCTTCCCCTCCGATGAGGTACAAATTCCCCCAAAACAGGGTCGCAATCTGCATTCCCAATGAGATTCTTGCATGTTCTCTCCACTCTGAGTGCGGAACTCTGTCCTGAACACATCTGCACCTCCTCCGTGGTTTCTGCCTCTGGCTTCTACCCAGGATGCTCCTTCACACCCCCTTAGTCTCCACTGAATTCCTTCCCACTCACAAAGGTCCATCTTAAATGCCACCTGCAATATGAAGCCTTTCTAATCTTGAACTTAACACATGGGGGAAAATGAAGCCTTTCTCGGGCTCCCAACAAATTGTCTCTCTGAAGCTCAGAGCTCTGTTTGGCCTCTTGTGGCACTTACACCCCCATCTTGTGACAGACACCTGTGCCTTGTCCCATCCTGTTCCCGGCTGTGTGCAGTCTGTAGCCTCACGCAAACAGTGCTGCATTGGCCTGCCGGGCTGACAGCTTTCCTTCCAGGAAAGCGGGTTTTGATGGGGAGAGGCCACAAGGACAGAGCCTGACCTGTGGGGAAATGGGATATGCCAGGATCTAGGGGCCGTGGGGCTGATGGGGAATCACCGAGCTGGAAAGGTTCTCAGGACCCACATGGTACAACCCCCTCCTTTTACAGACAAAAAGCGGGGAAAAAAAATCCCAGGGCAAGGAAGGGCTGGCCCAGGACAACCCAGCAGGTGAGCCCCATTCCTAGTGCCCAGAGTATCAAAAAAAAACAAAGTTCTGTCCTTTCTTGCAGTCCAGCTTCCCCCACTCCCCACCCCCGCCATTTTTCTGGCATTGACCTTATCCTAGCAAAGAGCAGACAAGCTTGAATACCTTTCCCCGGGCACCCTGACTTCCACAGGTCTCCACCTCTTCGAACAGATGCTCGGGACCCAGCCAAGGCCCAGGGAGGACCTTGCAGCTGGCAGAGGAAGTGATCAGGGGTCAATTGGAGCCCTTATCCCAGGATGGTGTGACTGTCCCATCCACACCCCCACAGCACTCAGGCCACATGAAAATGTTTCAGAAACACTTTAATGTGTTTAAAGTGTTACAGAGAAATCTGAAACCTGCAGAAAGCTGCAGCCATCTCCTGGGTGCCTGGAGCCAGAGTGGCCCCCTGAAGGGGACAAGAGCAGGCAGGAGGCCTGCACAAGCCAAGGAACCAGGGCAATTTGCTGACATCCTTTTGTTCTCTGCCCTAAATGCCCCAGCTTCCCTCTAAGGCCGGGGAAAGAAAGAGAAGGAAGTGGGAAAGGAGTAGGAGGAGGGTGGGTCTCTCCAGAGCGTTCTTCCTGCTTCAGGTGGTGACTCACCCAGCAGGCCCTGGGAGGGACGACCCATCAGACTGCACCACACTATGGCAGGCCCAGGAAGGAGCAGAGGAGGTTCTTCTGATGCAGCAGCCAAGAGAAGTCACCCACAGAAGACAGAAGGGGAGGTGGCCATCTCCTCCTCCCCAGTGTACACTTCAGTGCGGCCCGCATCTGTGTCACTTTGGGCCTTTCTTAAGTATAACATTGTCATACTCGGTTCCTGGCTGCCCGCCAGAGAGAGAGAAATCCTTCCTGGCAGGGTGGACGTGCTGGAGGCCACTAGGGTCCCCTTCAGCTGTGGCCTGCCTCCTCCTCGCCTTATGCCCGGGTGCCTGCGGGCTGTCATACAGGGACAGAGCAGCCACTCCCTCCGGCTCATCGTAGATGTGGTCGTGTTGGGGGGGTGGGTGCTCCTCGATGCTGTCGTACAGAGGGTCGGCCGGGATCTGGGGAGGGCCTACCAGGATGCCCCTGAAGCTCTTCCCCAGGGACCGGGCCACTGCATCGAAGGGCACCGCATACTCTCCCTCTGGGCCCGGAGGCTGCAGGGCAGGCGCCAGTGTGGTGGGCGAAGGAGGCGGCAGAGGGTCGTGGGGCCTGGGCAGCGTGGCGGGCATTGTGGCTGGCTGGGGCCCAGAAGGGGTGGCGTTCTTCTGGGCAGAGATGGCCTGTTCCAGGGCCAAGAAGATCTCATTGCCTTGCCGGGTTTCAAACTCAAAGTTACCTTCTCCAGAGACGCAGCGCCGGCCTGCCTCGAAGGAAAAGGTTACCTGCGCCGGGGCGAAAGGGGGTTACTGGCAGGGCCACAGTCTGGGTTGCTTTCCCTGGGCCCCACTCCAACCACAGGCCCTCAGCCCCTCACTTTCCTGCACCAGGAACTGTCCAAGACTTCTCCCTCCGTGGTTTTTCCTTCCAAGCAAAGACTTCCCTCTCTCCCCTACTCATGCTCCCTTCTACTCGTTCAAGTTCGCAGCTTGGCATCAGTTCAGCCACCATTCACCCCTCTCACCTCTCCACCTCTGCTCATTCTCCTTCCTGCTCTCCCACCTGCAGCACCTCATCACTCTCCCCTCCCACACATGTGCCTCCCCTTGGCCTCTCCTCTTCCTCCCCTGCTTCTCTGCCATCCCCTTCCTTTCTTCTTCCCTCGCCTGCCCACTCTGCCCTCACTGACCACCTCTCTTTGCTCACAGCTCTTCCTTCCTCTTGGCCTGCCCATGCAACAGCCCCTCACCTTGTCCCTCCCGAAGCGCCGCAGAAACCGGTAGGGCCACTCGTACAGCCGGGAGCCTGGCTCGGGGCCGCCACACAGCTCCAGGGCACCCTCCCCAGTGCGCAGGGTATAGGATCCCCGGAGGTGGCACCTCTCACTGGCTTCCGTAGGTCTAATGATCACCGCAAATTCCTTGCAGGGGACCACTGGGGAGGAGAGGAGAAGGCAGTTAATGGGAAACAGCTGGCCTGCCTCATGCTGCCCAGTTCTAAATGAGAGTGCCAGAAGGTTTCTAGAAAAAGTATTATCCATGTGCATGGCCCCAAGCCTGCATCTTGAAGGCCAAGCTGCTCCCTGCCGGGTCACACTCCCCAAAATGCCAGGTATCTCCGCCCCCTACCCAGGTGGGTACCATGCCCTGGCCACATCCACCAAACTCATGCCCACATCCTTCCTGCTGCCGTCACCAGAGCCACAGCCTGTCTTCTCCACCCCACCTCTCACCTCATAGAGGCCACCCCAATCCCTACTGCCACAGCTTCGAGTGAAGCCTGACCCTGCCCTCCGTCGTGTCCCCTGTGGGTTGAGCTTAGGTGGAAGGCTGGGGACAGCTTCTCCTCTGTCTGCCAGCTCCTCACCTCTCCCACCAGCAGGGCCTGGGCAACAGGGGGTGAACAGAGGGCAATGCACAAGGCAGGCCAGGCTCCCCAGCCTCAGCCTCGGGCCACACCCGGAAGTGAGGGGGAGAGGCTGAGAAGGGGCTGGCCCTGGCTGGGGGCAACCACAAGGCAGGAAGACCCAGGCCTGACACCTCCTCCCAACCTCGCCCTGGGGACAGCGCCCCAGGGAGCATAGCGCAGCCCCGGGTCCTCACCTGAGGCTGCGCTGCTGTACAGTTCATTCTCCTCCATGCAGGGCTGGCTGCCCCTCCCCTCTGGCCCCGACAGCTCCTTCCTCTGCCCCTGGAGAGGAGGCCCCAAGTCTCACCACCATCCCCAATCCCAGGGCCCACCCCAGGTCCAGGCCTTCTCTCAGGGCACACCCAGCCTGCTGGCCCTGCCACATCCTGGCCTTGACTCCTAACCCCTGCCCACAGGAAGTATCTAATACCCCCACCTTGCATGCCCCCGTGCCCTTTCTGCAGCCCCGGATGACTCACGGGGAAGGCCAGCAGGCAGATGGCCTGTATCCAGTCACCACGCTCTGCAGTGGGGGCCGCCAGCAGGTACAGGCGCTCCTTGGTCTCCACGAAGAAGGCACTGGTGTCCCGGGGACTGCTGGCCTCCCCATCAGGCTTGGCCACCCGCAGGCAGTCACTGAGGCGGATAACCCTCCGTGCAGCCTCTCCTCCCCGGCGTGGCGGCTTCTCCGGGCTCTCCTGGAGCTCCAGCCGGGCCAGGGCACAGCCCGACCCTCCGTACAGCACGGCCCCGAACCGGCGCCATTTCTGAGCCCCGAAGCATGGGTGGCAGGGTGCCAGGAGGGACACCCCGAGAGGGAGCAATTGTGAGCAAAAGGGCAAAGAGGAGCTGGGGGAGAGGGATGGACAGGAGACCCACGGAGGTGGAGAGGATGACAGGGACCGTAGGAATTAGAAAGTGGAGATCAGCTGCAAAGCAACCATGAAAGAGAGCTGTAAGCAAGAAAAGAGAGATTGCCTAGGGCACGACACAGCACAGTAACGATCCCCACAGGTGCAGGCTGCAAGGCGGCCAAGCAGGCCCAACCCAAGCGACACTAGTCTAGAGGAGAAAAGCCGGTGAGTCACTGAAGCCCAGAGGAAGAGGGGAGGAGGGCATCGTGGGGCCCAGGCTGGAGACCTCATCCTTGGTCTGTGTGAAGTCCCGCAGGGGCCCTGTCTCCAAGACCTTCTCTCCACCCTCCTGCACCTTTCTGCCTCACTGCGTGACAGGCTGGGCCACAAAAAAGAGAGAGAGTGGTTCCTCCCCGTGCAGGTCTGCTGAGGGAAGAGAACTTCCTCATCTAAGGAGGCCAGGGAAGGAGGATGATGGACAGGCTGGGGTCCTGGCTCCCAGAGGCCCCTGCCCCAAGCTTCGCACCAGCCAAATGCACTCCAACCTCCACTGTCATCCCAAATTGTACCCCCAGCTGTTCCTCCCCTTCTCTTCCCTTCCAGTTGTCCCCATGAGAAGAAGTCAACAGAGCAAGAGCGCCAGACAGAGGCAAGAGGTTAAGTCAGTACCCTCCCCCTGCCTCCAGGGCAAACAGCCATCCATAAACAGCCCAGTTTGGGGCCTGGTTTGGGAGGCAACATCCGGTAAGGAAAGAGCCCTCCCGAGGTCTCTAACTTGGTGGGCCCTATCAGGGTTCTGGAACACCCAACTCCCACTCCACCCCCAAGGGTTCCCAGCAGCCCCAGCCTGGTGGCTCCCACCTTTCCAAACGTCTGCTGCTGCTGCAGGTACAGGCAGCCGTGCTTCACCGCCTCCTCGCCCATCCTCTCACCATCTCGCTGCCCCGGCTTCAGTTCTGTCCTTCCACTCCCGCCCTCTTTCCTCTCTTCTCTGCTGTGTGTTCCCCTTCTCTCAAGTTCATTTCCTCTCTGCCTAGAGTTTTCTGCACTATTCTAGTTTGCTCGATGACGACAGACTGATAGGCCCTGTGGTTTCTTGTTCTTGTGTGTGCGCTTTTTTTTTTTTTTTTTTTTTTTTTTGCTGAGTGAGTTTCATGTTCAAGCTTCCTGCATTTCCAGTGAGTTAGAGACAATTTCCAGAAAGCCAAATGCCACCTCTGCAACTAGCAGCGAGTCAGGTGCAGAAGCCAGCATGGGCAGGCACCAGCAAAGAGTGGCTGCCCCACAGGGAGGAAGAGACTCAGAAAGCAAACTGCACAGTAAAGCCACTAGCAGAAGTCCCCTCCCTGCCCCCCTAGGCTGGATGCTGAGCAAGACAGCTGGAAGGGACAACCACCCAACACACTAAACTCAAAAATGAGGAAACAGGAGCTCAGAAAGATCTGCCTGAGGAACTTATCAAAGGCCACCAAATTGGAACCCAGGTTTCTCAACTCTAATAGCTGAACCACACACAGTGCTGCACACAGAGACACATGTGCACACTACCCAATACCACTTTATCTCTCTCACACTCTCTCTCACACACACACACACACGCAACTGTTCCACTACCTGGGAGCACTCCCTGCCTGCTGACAACAACATATGCTTACACCACCGCTGTGAAGATTCTAGAACCATGAACATCCCTTCTGGAGAAGGGATTTACTCCCCAAGTACATCTAAACTGTTGGATTTTCCCTTCTTTCCAGCCTTCCTGAGCATTAGAAAGACTTGGGTTTCATCTGGAGATTAGCTCAAGTTACAAATGCAATCACTTTAATACATGAACTGCCATGTGAGTTGTATTTAACTCACGCTGGTTTTGAGCCTGGGGCCTGGTGAAGCATATGTAACTCACACCTCTCTTTACCTTGGGAGCCACCGCATGAACTATTTTTCAAGTTGCATATAACTAACGCACAGAAAACAATAAAAAATAACAAATTTTTCATTAAATTAGGATCATTTTGCTTTTGAAGTTTTTATTCTATTATCCTAATAAAAAACTGTGGCCCCAAGGAAAAAAATGTTTTTTCTAGTGTGGCAATGTGTTAATATATATATTTTAAATGCTTCATAGTTACTGAAACAAAAATGCTTCATCGTTAGCAAAGCTTGCAGGCACACACTTTCACCAGCCACACTATTCCTTGGCAAAGGCAGGGCAGGTATGAACACACCTGTTTCCAACTTGCCTGTGGGCACAGAGCCTGGCGGCCAGCAGAGGAAGAAGTAATGCCCAGGGCTCCTGGTCTTTAATTCACCATTTTGCTTAGTGGAATCCCAACTCCACAAAAGATACGTTGCTTTGGGGACATCCAGGCTCCTTGGAGAAATTTAACTTAGAACCAGACGGCTTAGAGAGGTAATCTGGATGGAGGCACAGTGTAGACATGTTGGGGAAAACTAAGAATTAGACCAACACTCTTGAGGTTCATCCCATAATGGGCACTTATATTAAAGGGCCTATTTCCTCTACCATAGGGGTTCAGTTGCCCTGGTAAGGAGAGCAGAGCCGTGCACAGCTAAGGCCGTCTGCTGCACATGCCATGTGCTGGATCAAAACAGCTTGAAAAGATTAATGTCATGAGCCCTGGGAGTAGCTGGCTGAGTCACTTCAAGCTCACGGCCCTCAGCCCTGCTGCCTGGCTTTGAACAGGTTGCTCCAAAGCCCAAGGGAGTACCAAGAATGTTGTTGTGGGAAAAGCACACTTTGGGAAGTGGTTTGGGGTATAGAAATGGGATATGGCCTCTTCTGTCTCTCTAGTCCCTAAGGAGAGCCAAGTATGCCTGGGCACTTGCATGGCCTTTAGCTTGTGGACCGTCCTAGGTCCTAGGTCCACTCACTGCCAGAGCAGTGCCTTTCAAACTGTAATGTGCGGATCTTGTCAAAAGTGCAGATTTCAATCAAGTAGGTCTGGAGTGCGCCCTGAGATGCTGCCGCTGCTGCTGGGTGGGCCAGACAGCACTTTGAGTTAGCTAGGCAATAGTTCCCACCACTACTCAGATCGCCTTCCCCCTGAAGGCAGACTGGGCACATTCCACTAGGAACCACACGGGGGCACCCGAGCTTACCAGATTACTTGAAAACTGTTTAAACCTGGAGGCCTGAACCCCAGGCAATCCAGACCCCCCACCCCCATCTCATCCCTTATCAGAAGTGGGAGAAGTTCTCCTCCTGTAGCCCTAGTCTACAGAAGATAGGATAGCAAGAGTGTACCAAGACCAACACCCTTAAGTCCTTCAAGGCCCCTTCAACTTGCCCTAGCAGGATTTATGGGAACCTGAAGTGGAAGCACTAACCCCAGTACCAGCTGCCTAGCCACAGGGGAGCCCTGTGAGCAGGGGCCAGAGACACTGCTCCGTGACACAGCAGAGGAGCAGAGCACTGGAGGTCCTTAGGATCCCCAGGCACCAATGATGGGTGGAGAAAGGATACCGGTGGTTTATATACAGGTGGGGGGGGCGGTTGGGGGTGCCTCTTGGCTTCTCTGTGCTTTCATTGGAAAAAGGGGCACCACAAATCCCACTTCTGCCTCAATATAAGCCACCAGGATCCTTTCCTTGACAATGATTTCTCTCAGCAAGAGTTGCCAGAGACTACACCTACACAAACTTTGCAACTTTTGGTTACTATTCTTCTGCAGTGATTAGCAACACAAATCCTAACACAAAAGGGCTTGTGAGCTTGTCTTTGGGAGCAACAGAGGAAGAAGCAGGTGAGACTGTGTCTGACTCCTTGGGCAGGCCTGAGAATCAGGTGACCCAAAATGATATATAGGTGAGAATAGCTGCCCAGGAACATGAGACAGGAAGGTAGGCACAAGATGGGCAAGGAGCTGATGGGGGCCTCAGGAGGAGGAAGGACTGAACAAAGAAGTGAGCAGAGATTCTGAAATATCCCATGCTTGCCTCCCTGACCCTGAGGGGTTTCTGACTGTGGGGGGAAGGAAGACAACACCAGTCTCTTGAGTTCCATTTGTATCCTCCCCCTCCCCTTCTCCATTAAGTATATCACTTTTCTCAGGACTAAGAAAAGAAAGAACCCAGTTCTGGAAACCTTCTGAGAGGAAGAGCCTGCGACATAACATAACATAATGAACATGAATGAACACCGAGTGCCAGTCCACTATATCCACAACAGAAAGGGCGTGTGATTGGCGTCATTTGCATCACGTTATACCCCCCAGTAAATACAAACTTCAAACTTGACATTGATATAACACTAAAATGCCTTATGCTCTCATATGAGCCCCACACAAGTCCTAGAATGAGACTAGAAGTTCATTCAATAGGGTGGTGAGAAAAGCCTTTGGGAGGAGGTGACCACTGAACAGAGAAGTCAATGACAAGAGGAAACCAGCTATTTAAAGATTTGAGGGGAAAATATTCCAGGCAGAAGTTACTACAAGAGCAAAGGCCCTGAGGCAGGAGCACCCTGGACACCAGGAATTGCAAGAAGGCAGGAATGACCAATGCACTATGAGCAAGAGGAGGCAGGATAGAGACGAGGTCAGCTCATGTGACCTCTTGGGACACAGCAAATATTTGGATTCTCAGTGCAATGGGAGGGCACTGAAGGATTTTAAGTGGGGGTGTAAGGTATCTGAGTTATAATTTTAAAGAAATGTCCTGCAGATCTATGGGATGTGGATTACCAAGGGACAAGACAGGAAGCAGAGAAACTAGTTCAGAATCTATTAACGGAGCACAGGAAAAATGTGATGGTGGATTAGACCAGGGTGTTAGCAGTGGAGATGAGCAGGGTGGCCAGATTTCAGTCTATATTAGATATAGATTCTATGGGACTTGTACGTGGATTGGATGTGGGGGACTGATAAGATGTAAGGAGTAAAGATAACAACTGGGTGTTTATTTGGAGCAACAAGATGAATGGTGGTATCATTTACTGAGAAGGGGAAGACAAAGGAATAAACAAATGTGGGGGGGGGGGCAGAGGAGACAGAGATTGGGGCCTGGCCCACCAGGAAACTGTTACCTCTACCCAGTCAAGTAGGGAATCCAAAGACTGCCATTGTGATTGTGACTCCGAGAATAAATATACCACTGCACAATGCAAGCTCAGGAAGCCCCTGAACCCACTACTCTGCCTCTTTATACCCTCAGAACTAATGGTTGGACACTGGAAGGTTACTGCAAAAAAAAAAAAAAAAAACAACCAAAATCAGTCCAACATATCAAGGGCTAGGCTGGTCAGAAGGAACAGTCAAAAGTTCTACCACACTTCTGCCTCCGAAATCTTCTCTGAGTCAATCTAATTGGCACAGCCTACCTTGCATACAGAACCCTAGCTCCAAAGAAGTCTGGGTAATGTAGTTTTTAGGTGTCCTACCTCTGCAGATCAGGAAGACACATTAGGAGGATGAAAGTAGAAATGAACACTGAGTGCCAGTCCACTATAAACACAACAGAAAGGGTGTGTAATTTGCATAATTTGCATCACATGTTGTACCCCCCCAGTAAATACAAACTTCACTTGAAACAATCATTGCCGTCAGAATTCAGCCAATATCTAGACTGGGGGCCTTGAATGGAAGCCAGAGAGGAGGAATCTAGTGGAAAACAGGACTTGGCATTATCTAATAAAGATAATTCCTAGTGGCAAAGACTGGAATTGGCCTCCGCATGTAGCGACTGACCTCATGTGACCCAGAGGGATGGCTTTCCCACTCAGATTGAGCCCAGGTGTCCTAACCACCAGCACTACCACCTCTCCCAGCATCTGACACCTCTCAGGAGGCAACCTAGAGGACTGGTTAAGACAACAATCTGTTTGGGAAAACAGAACTGTGTCTTCCGTATATTTTGATCATCACCACTATTTGGCGGCTATTTCCATGAATGTTTATCCAGAAGAAAAGGACATAAACGAAAACAAGGAGATCACTATTGGGGTTCCTGGTGAAACCCTAGATCAGAAAGCAATGGCCCTGGTCCGTTAAGCTAGGAAGACACACACACAGATTCGACCCCCGCTGAGAACAGGGCCAAGGAAAGTAAAGAATCCTGCAGGCATCCTAGGCGGGTGGTTACTGGCAGTGGACGCATAGCAAAACCCCTCCCGGGTCCGGTGTCACCACAGCGGCGCAGCGGGGTGGGGGTGTCCAGGGGCAAGCAGGGGAAAGACACTCGGGAAGAGAGGAAGGCAGGGGGTGCAGGGGTTCCGGGCGGGGACAGACACCGCCCCATCCAGGAGCCCGCACCACACAAACCCGAGGAAGGCAGCGCCAACTCCCACGCCAATGCCGCCCGCCGGAGCGAGCGCGGCCCCTTTAAAAACCATGTAAACAAAGCTTTGTTCCCCCAGCTGCCCCTCCTCCGCGCTCCCCCGGCCCGCTCCTTCCTCCCACCCGGCGTCTCCGGGCAGCTGACGTTGCCCGCGCCTCTACGCCGTCCCAGCGGTGCTGCGCATTCTCCAACCGCGGCCGGGGCCGCCGGGGCCTGCGCAGCCGAGCGGCGCTACGCCACGAGCGTAGCGCGACGGGCCCCCAGCGCGCAGGCGCAGCGACGACGGCGGCGGCGGCGGCAGCGGCCCCGGCCGAGGTGCGCGCTGGGGGGGAGGGGGGGCCGGAGAGGAGCATGAATGGAGCAAAATGGCGGATCATGTGCAGGTGAGAGGAGCCGCGGGGGGGAGGGGGCGGCCGCGGAGAGTGGGGAGTGGAGTGGGGGGCGCACGCGGCCCACAGGGCGCGGGCCGGCTCGGGGCTCGCCAGGCCCGCGCCGCCACCACCCGGGGCTCCGGAGCCGCCGCCCGTCCCGGAGCTCTGGGGCCTTTCCCGCCTCCCGGGCCGGGGGCCTCCTCCAACCCCTCCCACCCGGTCCCACGCCTCG